TGGCAGAACAGACAGGGGAGGGGGCGGGTACAGCTGGCTCTGCCTCTAGATAGGCAGAGCCAGCTGTCAGTCACGCAGCTGGGCGGATCCAGACATAATTGTCGGGATCCGCTTCAGCTGGGGCGTCTCAGTATCGCGGTATACTGAGCCTAGGGTGACGGGAGGACGCTAGTTTGTGTCCTCCCGTTATCCTTAGGCGAACTATGGGGAAAAACACTGACCGCATAGTTCTCCTTTAAACTAACGATGGCAATCCTATCTGGAGCTGGATATTAACCTGTGTGGAAACATAGTTGCTGCCAAACCTGCGAAGGTGATAATTCCTAAAGGCAATAAGGAAACGCTTTAAACAATAGCGCTTATGTAACAGAAATCTTCAAGGAGCCGAGTCACCCGTCAGGCTTTTTATACCTTCATTTAGTATTGGAAATAACCTCTCTATAGTAGCACCTTTATAATCGATTATGTCGATTAGTTGTTGCAGCCCTACCTGAAACCAAGGAGGAGTTGTCGTTAGGCAGAGATTTTACATATTCTCTATTTCCCTCTCCAACAAGGAAGAACATACACGAGAAAAAAAAAAAAAATTCTTAACCTACGGCGATTAGAGCGCTTATATGACAAACCGCCCCTGCTTTCAGCTTGGCCAACTTTCTGGACGATACCATTTAGGAAAGGTGAGGTTTAAAAGGAGAACTATGGGTTAAGTGATTTTCCCCATAGTTCTCCTAAGGGTCACGGGAGGACATATACTAACCTCCTCCCGTGACCCAAAGCTCAGTATATCGCGAGCTACAGCTCACGGTATACTGAGACCGCTGCAGCCGGGATGGATCTCGACATTACTGTCTGCATCCGCCCAGCTGCGTGAGTGATAAATGGCTTTGCCTATCTAGAGGCAGAGCCAGCTGTACCCGCCCCTCCCTTATAAGTTCCGCCAGTCAGCGATGGAGGATCGGAGCGGGGTGGAATCCCTGCAGGGAGCCGTGACTGACAGTCACCGCTCTCTGCAGGGGCATGATCGAGAAGTCAGCGATCGGCGGTATGTGTTCGCTCACTTCCCGATCTATTGAGCCGACGTGTGACAGTTTAATTGTCACACGTCACCTTATAGTTCTCCTATAAAGTCCAATTGAAATAAAACTTTTACAGTTTTCAGTGGCAAATGCAGTATTAGTATACCAGTTTCACCAATACCATTCATTTATTTTTGTATAGATGTCTCCACTTGTACCCTTTTGCCTCATAAATTCAGTTACACCATAAGGTCCAAATTTTGTTGACACCTGAGCATCACACCTACTGTATGCCCAAAAAGTAGGGATGCACCGGTACAGTGTTTGGGTATCGAGTACCGATCATTTTTTTTCAGTACTCGCCAATACCAAATACCAGTGCCACGTGCCCTTATTATCAGGAATTCGGGCAGCGCATCATGACCTGTCACCCGGCTGCCTGATTGTCTGTGAAGCCGGTGTTCTAGCGAAGAACACCAGCTTCACTTGCCGAGGCTTCCTGACAAATCAGGAAGTCGGGCGGCAAGTCATGAGGTGCTGTCCGGCTTCCCAATTGGTCAGGAAGCCAGGCTTCCCAGCAAGAAGGGAAGCTGGACTCCTGACCAATCGAGAAGCCGGGCTGCACGTCAGGACCTGACGCCAGACTCTCCACCCCATACACCCCCCTCTCCACCCCCCAGGGATTTCCTGGCTGACAGAAAGCTGCCTCAAGAGCTGGATTCTACACTTGATTTTGCCTGCCCTTGGACCCAGCTCTCTACCAACACATCCTCTGTCAAACCTTTCTGTTCCAGCATGACATGGTTTGAGGAGCTTAGTGTGGAGAACCTCAAGTGGCCAACACAGAGGCCTGACCTCAAGTCCCCTAAACACTTTGGGATGAATCAGAATCTCAGTTAGTAGCCAGGTCTTCTCGTCCAACAGATGTATCGGACCTCACAAATGCCCTTTTGGCTGAATGAGCACAAATTCCCACAGACACACTCCAAAATCTTGTGGAAAGCCTTCTCAAAAGAGTGGAGACTGTCATAGCCAAAAAGCAAGGACAGCTCCGTATTAATGCCAACGGTTTTTGGAATTGGACCTCCAACAAACTCATATAGGAGGTCCTCATATGGACGTCCAACAAACTCATATAGAGGTGATGATCAGGTGTCCACAAACGTTTGGCCATAAAGTGAAGATCCTTTGCTATAATTTGTAGCAGAATGTAGCCAGGTAAGGACAAGGACTGGCAATTTACCACTGCGACCTGTGAACCGTATGACTCCATTTTCCAGCTCCATCCCTATTCCTATGTTGTGTGTTTGCCGTGAATGCCTGAGAATCACCAGAGCAAAAAGTTATTTAAGCAATTATTGTCAGTGTCAAATCTCTAGCAAAGAAGAAAAGAAGCAGCATACCATATAAGAAAAAAAAAAAAAATATATAAAATCAGTCTTTACAAACGGCCCAAATCTTACAATAAAGTGATTACGGAAAGTGTGAAGGCGATTCCTGAAAATTGGCTCCTAAGACGAGTCTTTTAAAAAAGGACTACATTGTTGTGCCATCGGTGTTGCGTGGCTGGAATCCTTCCCGTCGCGGGCTGTTGAGGTCCACGTGTGTAGTTACGACGCAGCGCACTAAAAGTGTGTCGTTTTTAATGTACATCCGCTGCCTGAGCGCCTGAAGGTGCATAAATGTGACATAACCAAAGCCTTTGGGGTTTCGAGGCATTGTAGGCCTCTGGAAGGCCAGCAAGTCTGGTTTGGTGTCCATTACCTCCTCCTGGTCTTGCATACAGGACCCTTCTGATTGGTCCAGGATGGAGAGGCGGATGGTTCCCTGAAAAGGCCAGTGGAGGAGGCCGTCGTACTCTCCCTGCATTGTGTGTACAAAGAGGGAGATATAGTTGGCACAGCGAGGAGCGTTGGGGAGCTGCAGGTGAAGACGCAGACAGAGCTTGTAACCTGGTTTTCCCGTGTAAAATCCTGGACTGTGTATAACCACTGGTTTCTCCTCCTCCTGGTTTTTTAGGTGGGCACTAAAATGATGAATCTTCCACACGAAGATACCATTGTACTGCTGAGCCTCCACCTCCACAAGCTTGTCCTCCAAGGTACGGATTGTTTGCTTTAGATCGGTTACGTAGGCACACTGGGTTTCCATTTTGGCCATTAGCTCTCGGATCTGGTGGTCTTGCTTCACCAGACGGGCCTCCAGTTGTTCAACGGTCTCCTTCAGCTGCTGACTGTCTTGGTTGGTGTCATGCCCCGACACCAGACGAGAGGGTAACGTGAATACAGAAGGGGGCCCAGGCTGAAACTGGGTGGGGTCAAGCGTTATGCTGGGCATGTGGCTGGTAGGGGTGAGGGAGGTGCTGAAGCTCAGAAGAGACTGTGCCATCATCCGCATGTGAGCCTGTGTAAACTCCTGCTGGTGCCGAGCGAGATCATCTCTCTGCATCTAGGAGAGAAGAATAAAAAGCCTCAGCAGGTTTCTACACGCAGCCACCAAATACTATAAATCCACAACACCAAAGCAACACATGTTGTTATAACTCAAATGAAACGATCAAACTAAGTAGAATACTTCAATAAATGGTCCCGATGTTTCAAGGGGGGCATCCTTTCACAAAGGGTCTGGCGTGCCCTAAAAGGAGAACTATGAGGTGAGTGCTTTTCACTCACCTCATAGTTCTAGCCGACCTGTGACAATGAGACTGTCACAGGTCAGCACAGTAGATCGGGAGCGCTGACTGGCGGAACGGACGGGGGAGGGGGCGGGTACAGCTGGCTCTGCCTCTAGATAGGCAGAGCCAAGCTGTCAGTCACGCAGCTGGGCGGATCCCAGCACAATTTTCGGGATCCGCTTCAGCATACCGCGAGCTACAGCTCGCGGTATACTGAGCCCAGGGTGACGGGAGGACGCTAGTTTGTGTCCTCCCGTTACCCTAAGGAGAACTATGGGGAAAAGCCTTAACCCCATAGTTCTCCTTTAAAGTGAACCTCAGCTTTGCCCCGGGTTCACTAACTTCCCTACCTCTGTCCCGGCAGAACATTTCCTTCACTAGTCTACTGCTCTATTCATCTGTTGGGAGCAGAAGAAGCTGCCCTGTGTAAGCTATTTGCATCTAAATTGTACCTTTTAAACAGAACTGTACGTGCTCCATGTGGTGCTGTGGAATGAGTCATGTAGGGATGCACAGATACCGTTTTTTGTTATCGAGTACGAGTACAGATATTTTGTTTTCAGTACTCACCGATACCAAAGTCCCATTAAGGAAGCCAGGTGGTGTGTAATGACTCGCCACCTGGCTTCCCGATTAGCTGGGAAGCTGTCTCCATGCTCCCTCATCACCAAGTGACGAGAAAGCATGGAGCCTGGCAACGAGTTATTACGTGGCTCCCGGCTTCCTGATTGGTTCAGAAGTTGGCCAATCAGGAAGCCAGGCAACGAGTCATTACATAGCGCCCGGCTTTCTGATTGGCCATGAAGCCGACTTTCTGGCCAATCAGAAAGCCAGGGGGGGGGCAGGTAATGACTCATCGTCCAGGTTCCTGATTGGCCGGCTTCCCGACCAATCAGGAAGCTAGGCTGCGAGTCATTACACACTGCCTGGCTTCCTTAACCTCCCTGGCGGTCTGATTATTTTTTATTTTTTCCTTTTTTGTTTATTTTTTTCTTTTACATTTCCCGCCGGTTCCGCCCCTGTGTGACGCAGACGCTCGCAAGGGACAGAACCCGGAAGACAGATGCCGGCATCGGCTGGAGGACACAGCGGTGATCATGGACAAGGTAAGTAACGCACTGGGTAATCCCGAGTGTGGCTCGGGGTTACCGCTCTTGGTAATGAAAATTACCCCGAGCCACACTCGGGATTACCGCCAGGGAGGTTAATGGGACTTCCGGTATCGGTATTCAGTATTGGTGATTACTGACAAAAAAATATCGGTACTCGATACCAAAAAACAGTATCTGTGCATCCCTACTTATTCCACAGCACCACATGAAGCACGTACAGTCCTGTTTAAAAGGTACAATTTAGATGCAAATAGCTTACACAGGGCAGCTTCTTTTGCTCCTCACAAAGTGACGAGGGAGCATGGAGCCGGCTTCCTGACCAATCAAGAAGCCGGGCAAGGTGTAATGACTTGCTGCCCGGCTTCCCGATACCAGAAGCTCAGGTATCAGAGCATTTGGGCGATTACGAGTACTCGCCCAAATACTTGGCATCGACACCGAGTCATGTTGCATCCCTAGAGTCATGTTCATCTTCATACCTGAAAGTAGATGCCTCCTGAAACTTCTTGACAAAGCCAAATGTCCCCCACACATTCCTATTGGTCCATTACTATGATGGATAACCTCACTCGCCGATAGCAATGTCCAAGGGGTAGGCAGGGGTGCCTAAGCTTGGTCACCATCAGAAAGAGCCAATGCTTTGCCAGATCGGCCTCAGATTCAGCTCTGAAAGGAAGATTTAGAGATTTGCTGCGGGAATGTAACTTCTCGGTGACTGTACTTCATGCCTGCTGCAATTTGCCCCGTGAACACCAAGTCATAAAGCCTTTATAGGAAGTTCTATTATTTGTAAAGCTTCAACCTCACCTTTTCATTACATCCAAACTGGCTGTAGATACACGGAATGGGGGCCTTTATGCAGTCCATGTTATAGTGAAAGGCCATCTGGAAAAGAACCATACAATAATTACTTGTACTGATCGCAGATTCCTACAAATGATAAACAGACACTAAAGTATTAGGGAATAGGAAAAGAACTAGGATCTGCGTTAATGGGCTTTGGGTTTGTGTTGATGGCATCAGTTTGAAACGCTTCTGAGATCATTCAGAGTTTTTTTTTTTTTTGCAGGTGCATCTGACCTCCATCTGATCTGTGGATATGACCTCCATCTGATCTGCATTTCATCAGCTTCAAGCGGGTTTCACACTACCATTGTATGGGACTGCAAAACCAGCTTCAGGTGACCAAAAACCCATCAACACAGGCAATACGGTTTTAAAACATTATTCTGCTTAAAGAAGAACTCCAGGCAAAAATGTTCTTAACCCTTGCAGTGTGGCTACCCCTGCAATGCAAGGGTTAACTGCTCATTTTGGTCTGGGTGAAAAAATAAAGTTACACTCCCCCAATCCTTGCAGCCAGCTCCCTCCAGCCCGTCTCTTCCTCTGCTGCAGCAACTGTATGTCCCTCAGCTTCCTCACATCCAATACACAGTGTATTGGATCTGATGACTCACGGGACCTTAGACTGCTGGAACGGAGGGGGAGATGGGCTGGAAGGGCCGGTTTAACAGCCAAAGGGCTGCGAGAATCAGGTGAATAACACTGTTATTTTACAGCTAGCTGAAAACGAGCACTTAGCCCTTGCAAAGCCGGGGGTAGCCCCACTGCAAGGGCTAATTACTTTTGCCCGGAGGCAGTAGCGTAACAATCGCCATAGCAACCCAGGCGGCCACTATGGGGCACGGGCACAGGGTGCCCAGCCAGGGCATCCCTCTGATGCCGTGTGGGTCGCTATGGCATGTAGATGTGCTGGCTGTCACTGACAAAGCTCAGCAGCGGCTGTGAAGAGGAACAGCCGCTGCGGAGCTGTGTCAGTGACAGCCAGCAGCTGCGGCAGAAGAGGCCAGTGGAGGAGGCGGGGCCCGCCTAAGAGCAACCCCGCCTCCTCTTACATCACTGGCCAGCGACCTAAGAGCAGACGGGGCCCCGTCAATAGAAGAGGAGGCGGGGCCCGGCGACCACGGAGGCGGACAGCGCCGACAGGTAAGAGGTGTGCAGCCCATCTGAGACTCTGCAGAGCCCACTATAGAGAGTCCATGGTGGGCTCTGCAGGGTCAATTCAGGTGGGCTGTTTAGTATATCAGGTGGGCTCTGCAAGTGGCATAACTAGCAATCACGGGGCCCCATACAAAATTTGTGATTTCTAGCTACGCCCCAGCCCGGAGGTCTTCTTTACGTGCACATTGATGGTTTGCTCTTTTCTGAATGACTGGTATAAAGTCTGATCATGTACATACATATATAATTAAAGCAGGAAATATGAACATCAGAGAATGCTGCCACCCTCTCCCATCTGTGACACGGTAGTCTTTCCTTCGCTGTCTGCTCATAATTTTGTGCAATCCATAGGCTATGGAATGTAAAGGGCACCTGTCACGGGAATGAGCTGTCTGCTCTGGTTGTGTTTTTACTCTTCATAGTGTCTTGGCCTGCAAGTTATTCCCAAGTGCTCCAGAAGTCACATTACTTCCAAAGGCGCTTTGCTTAAAGTGGAACTGAAGCATGCATCAGCAAATCAAATGAAAGCCACAATTCAGTGGTAGTTATTTCAATCATTTACAATGTAAATTGTTAATTCCAGTAACCATGTTTACATTTTTCCAAAAGCAATATAGGTAATTTGAGCCCCCCTCCCCCCCCCCTCACATACTAAAGCCTGCGCCACCTTTGAATGTTTGTCGCATTCACCCACAAACTTACACTATGCCCTATACAAATGTGCACTACATAGATTCTCGCTTAACCTCCTCATTCAGCCATGCTGCTTTTTAATGAGTAGGGATGCACCGATACCAATCAATATACTAGTATCGAGATCGGTGCCGATAGAGATTTGGGCGAGTACTGGTACTCACCCAAATGCTCCGATGCCTAGCCCGATACTTCCTGTATCAGGAAGCATCGGGCTTGCTGGCCAATCATGGAAGCCAGGAAACATGTAATGACGCGGCGCCCTGCTTTCTGATTGGCCGGGAGACCGGCTCCCTCGTCATGAGATGACAAGGGAGCATGAAGCCAGCTTCCCGGCCAATCAGAATGCCGGGCGCTGCGTCATTACACGCTGCACGGTTTCCAGATTGGCCAGGAAGCGGCTCCATGCTCTCTCGTCACTTGTGACGAGAGAGCATGGAGCCGCTTCCTGGCCAATCTGGAAACCGTGCAGCGTGTAATGACGCAGCGCCCGGCATTCTGATTGGCCGGGAAGCCGGCTTCATGCTCCCTTGTCATCTCATGACAAGGGAGCATGGAGCCGGTCTCCCGGCCAATCAGAAATCAGGGCGCCGAGTCATTACACGTCGCCCGGCTTCCATGATTGGTCAGCAAGACGGCTCCAGCCGGGTACCGGAAGAAGGCCGCTCCTGGCCGGAGAGGCCCCGGGGGCGACAGGCTGGACATGCCGAGGTGAGAGGGGACAGACTTTCTTGTTAATCAGGAAGCCAGGTGGCGAGTCATTACACGCCACCTGGCTTCCTGAATGGGACTTCCGGTACTCTGTAATTGGTATCGGCGAGTACCGGAAAAAAATTATCGGTATTCGTGCTCGGTACCAAAATACCGGTATCGGTGCATCCTACTAGTGAGGTACAGAGGGAGGGCTAGTCAAAATTCCTGGACTGCAATATTGACACTGACCGTCACATAGGTGAGCTACCATATAGGGGGAACTTTAATTTCAATTCCACTTTATAAAGAGCCAGAGGCAGATTACAAGTGTAGGCCTTAGATATAGGGTGTGAGCAGTGAATGAAATCCATCACCTGTCCCTAGCTCCTCCAGAGGAATCCAAGATGGCAGCACCCACAGCCCTGTGCAGATGAAAAGATTTCAGACAATATGCTACCATCTTAAAAAAGGTACTAATGGCCAATCTTTACCATTGGGACAGAGATCACCATTTCCATGGTCTGGGCTCACATTTTCTTTATGGTCAACGGAGAGATATTTCTGACATAAGCATAGCAGCAGTGTAATGGCATGTGGCAAAGAAAAACAACAACAGTGGTTCAAAAAGAGAATTATGCATTCCAAAACTATACAAGGACGTCTCTACCTGATTTCGCACAAGGCCGCTGGTCTCACAATATTCACAAGTTACGTAGGCCAAAGGGCACGTCTGCTCATGATCCTGCATTGGGGAAGGTAAAAGAAGACGTCCGAGACTTAGGTTTTTCAAAAGCATGTGATAAAAAAAACCTACACAAGACTGTTTTTGTATGTTAGATTATAAAGGGACATTCACAAACAACCATACTCCTCGATCCTGCAAGCGGGACTATGTCTACCTGCACATAATATTCCAGTGTCTCTCATCAACCCAAAAAGAAATAAAAAAACAGCCCAATGTCTGAAGAATCCAACTTCCTATAAGCCGCGTCTCCTAGACTAGTTTGCTGAAGGTGTTCATATACAGGAAGGAAAAGGATATGTGACAAGGAACCCAGTAAAATTGCAGGAGGGTCATCACGTAGAACTCAGTGGCATTGGTCACATAGTCTCTGCTATGGTGAGTGCATGGGGACATACACCTAGGCATCGGTCATGTGACGCTGCTGCTGCTGCAGTAACTCTGGGTACCCAACTTTACCATTTCCCTTTTCTTTTAGGATTGATAATTTTAATTAAAAAGGAGAACTATGAGGCGAGTGATTTACACTCATCCTCATAGGTAAAGCCGACGCGTGACACTGAAGCTGTCACACGTCGACTCTATAGATTGGGAAGTGAGCGAACACACACCGGTCTCTCAGTCACCGCTCCCCACAGGGATTCCACACTCCCATCCTCCAGCGCTGACTGGAGGAACGAACGGGGATGAGACGGGCATAGCTGGCTCTGACTCTAGATAGGCAGCTGTCAATCAACCAGCTGGGTGGATCTCAACAGTAAGGTCGGGATCCGTCCCGGGTGCGGTGCTCTCAATATACAGCGGGCAATAGCCCGCTATATACTGAGCTTTGGGTCACGTGAGGAGGTTAGTATATGTCCTCCTGTGACCTTTAAGAGAACTATGGGGAAAAACACTTACCCCGTAGTTCTCTTTTAAAATGTTGACAATCACATTTTAAAGGGATAGCATAATGCTTTTTTTTTGCTAAGTTTTACTTTTACATTGTTAGATGTTTAAATATTTCTATCAAATATATTTCATTGCAAAGAAAATGTAAAGCTGGGCGCATCTATGACACCCCGGCTGCAAAGCATGCTGGGGCGTCTAATAAAAGAGACCGGCGCTGCCTGCCAGTCGGCACCCTGTGTGTAACAAACTAAGCAAGATGGTTCCATTTTGCGGGCAGAGAGGGATCGAGATTCATTCCTCCTCCTCTGACTCACTGTGCGTTTTGTATAATCTTATCCCTCTGGCTATTCAAGTCCCGCCTCACAGCATATCTGTAAAATTAGCTGGCTGCAAGTGGTATGCATGAAGTACCCCCGGGTAATGATTTATATTTTGTGAAATATGCAATTTAAAAAAAAACTTGTCTTTTTGGAACTGTATATAAAAAGGGATGCACCGATAACGTTTTTTTCCAGTATCGAGTACCGATGCTGTGTGCCCAGATTATCAGGAAGTCGGGTGGTGGATAATGACCCGTCACCCAGGTTCCTGATTGCCTGTGAAGCCGGTTTTCTAGCGAAAGACTACTGGCTTCAGAGGCTGCCTGACCAATCAGGAAGCCAGGTGGCGAGTCATGAGGAACCCGGGCGGCACATCATGACCCGCCTCCTGGATTCCCGATTAGCTGGGAAGCCGGCTTTACTTGTTCCTAGGCAGCCTGGCTACCTGACCAATCAGAAAGCCGGGAGGTGGGTCATTACGTGCCGCCCGGCTTCCTGATTGGTCAGGAAGCCAGGCTACTTAGCAACACATGAAGCCGGCTTCCTAGCCAATCAGGTCATAACCCACTGCCCGGCATTCCGATTGGAAAGGAAGCTGGCTGCATTATACCTCAGCAATGCCAGTCAGAGGGACATCTCCCTCTAACCAGAAGTTCCGGTATCGGAAAGTATCAGAGCATTTGGGCGAGTACTCGCCCAAATACTCGGTATCGGTGCATCCCTACTATCTATCTATGGCAGTCATTTTAATGTTACCCCCTCTGAAAAGTCGGGCACTCGGTCATGGACTGACTGGAAGTTCGGGTATCGGAGCATTTGGGTGAGTACGAGTAGTCCCCCAAATACTCGGTATCGGCACCAATACTAGTATTGGTATATCCCTAGCATATAATAAACGCATGATTGAACAATAGACAATACATCTTCTCTAATCTGGATCTCTGGGTCATTTACTTCCAGTTTTTGCCAGTGAGAGAAAGCCTATAATCCCAAGCTTTGATCAATACTGATAAACCTGCCACAGACCCTTATGGTAATTATATGTACAGTTCCACCCGACTCACCAGCGCCTGCTCATAGGGCATAGACACAAGACAGTTTTCGCAGGACACCTCTCGCCTCGGACACTCCACCACCTCGTGCTGCTCCAGTTGCTTTCTCTGGAAGAGTCCCTGGCAGTGTCGGCATTCCACGCTGGTATACTCACAGATAGCCTTGTGATGCTGCACACAGAGATCACAATGAGAGAGTTAGAATGAGAGCATTCTGAGACCGATGGTCTTCATCCACACCTAGAGCTGAATTTGCTGCCCAGCATAGATTAGCTGGTCTTAGGGCAGTTGAACATTCTCTATAACATGGGTAGGTAAACTTCAGCCCTCAATCTGCGGCGAAACTACGAATCCCAGCTTGCATCTGCCTCTGGGAGTCATGCCGGTGGCTGCCAGTCTTGCAATGCCTTATGGGATTTGTAGTTTCACCACAACTGGAAGGCTGAAGTTTGATATATAAGATCAAGGTTTCCTCCAAAAGAGCTCTGTTGGAAAGCAACTGACTGACCCTTATAGACATAAGATGGACGCCTTAAAGCCTATCCAAACACACCAGCTGATTCAGTCCCGCATTCACTGAAAATACATTTGTACATGACTGCCATATGAGAACATAACTGTCTCAACAATAGTCTTCTGTAATACCTCCAATCAAGATTTTGAGCTTACTTACAAAAACCTGTGGATCTGCCAGAAATCCAGTGAGTTCCTACCTTCCTGTTTAAACAGACAGCCTACAGCCTGGAATCTACAGAAACGCCTTCACCAAAGACAAATCCAACAGTTGCAAATGTGGTAATACTAGGGCTGGTAATGATTAAAATGTTCGTGTTCGATTAATAGAATTTTTTTTTAAATCGATTATAAACGCACATACAGATCCAACTACATTGGCCTATACACATAAAGCACAGCAATGAAGTAATGAAATGAACTAGGATCACACTAATCCAGCGCGTTATTAATCTCAAGTGCCCCACTCAATATGGCCGCCACTTGAGTGGGGCACGAGAGATTAATAAACGTGCTGGATTAGTGTGATCCTAGTTCATTTTATGACTTCATTGTTGTGCTGTATGTGTATAGGCCAATGCCTTGGCTGGCGCTCACGCAGAAAGTTTCTTGGGCAAACTCACCGGCCCAAGTGGCTCCGTCGGCTAATGAATGGGGGAGGAGTACGGTGACGTCACGGACATCGACGTCACCGGACTCCCCCTTCCCTTCGTTAGCCGTCACGGACATCAACGTCACCGGACTCCTCCCCCCCCTTCCCTTCGTTAGCCGACGGAGCCACTTGGGGAAGAGGGGAGGAGTCCGGTGATGTCGATGTCCGTGACGTTACCGGATCGCCGACGGGACTCCCGGAAGCTGGCGGAGAGGTGAGTGTTTTCATTAGCGATCAAAATCATTTTAATCGATCAAAAAGTCGAACGATTAATCGAGAAATTAATCTTTCATTTCCACAGCCCTAGGTAATACACTTGAGAATGACAGGGATGGATTCACCTGCAGTGAATGTGCTTTATAATATGCCCCATGCACTAGAAAGCAATGACATCACATTCGGAACATACATAGGAACAACACAGACTAGGATTTCCTACAACCAAACCTCTGCTCAATAGACTAGGAAGGAATTGCTCTGAACATTGTGCTCACCTCCAGGTGCCTCAGCTCCATCTTGGCCGAGCAGCATTCGCTGGGACACTTCACCATAAGGGAAAGGATCTCTCGTTTGGCAAAGTTATCCGGGAACAGCTGGTTCTCCAAGAGAAGGTCGTTGTCCACTGGGCACTTCGGCCCGGCGTCTCTGAAAAAACACGGCAAGGCATCAGCACCGGCAAACCAACCACTTCATTGATATGATTTATCTAACGTGAAGAACTCCTGCCGAGGTTTACAAAGACTCAGCCTAGGAGGAGTTTGCAGAGTCACGTCCCTGCCAACGTCATACACACTCGCAAAAATCCCCTTTGCTCAGTCCTGATAGTCAGCAGGGGGGGAAGGTATTAAAACCGGTCTCTACGTTTAATTAAAAAAAAGGCATTACTGCATTCATATACAGACATATGAGGAAGTGACGCACAGTATGGAGATGCCTCTATAAAAGGTGTGGTCCTATGGTAATCAATGGTAAGACAATGAAACTGAAAACACAGCTGACCCGGAGATTCCCCGACACATCTCCTTCATACTCAATATATGAGGAACTTCAAGAAGAACTCTGGGACAAGCAAATGTTGTCTAAATACAAGAGCCGTGTGTATTCTTCCTCAAATCTTGGTGAGCTCTGTGTATTTTTTCCAGATCTGTGCAGTGATCCAGTGTGAGACTTGGAGCTTCCTGTAATAAAAGACCGGTCACTGCTGCTCTCTCTCCTTGTGCAGGGTGACTGGTCTTGTCTCCGCCCCCTCCTGCAATAAAGACCGGTCACGGCTGCTCTCTTGCCTTGTGCAGGGCGACTGGTCTTGTCTCCGCCCCTCCTGTAATAAAGACCAGTCACTGCTGCTCTCTTGCGTTGTACAGGGTGACTGGTCTTGTCTCCACCCCTCCTGAAAATGAAGACCGCTCACTGCTGCTCTCTCGCTTTGTGCAGGGTGACTGGTCTTGTCTCCGGCCCTTCCTGTAATAAAGACCAATCACTGCTGCTGCTCTCTCTCCTTGTGCAGGGTGACTGGTCTTGTCTCTGCTCCCTCCTGTAATAAAGACCAATCACTGCTGCTCTCTCTCCTTGTGCAGGGTGACTGGTCTTGTCTCCGCCCCCTCCTTTTTCTGTAGTGGGTGGGGCCTGCTGGGTCGCTCCTGCAGCTCTGCTCAGGCTATGTACAGTACAGTGATGATGTCACCACTACTTTTACAACGTTGCAAAGGCATTTGGTGCGCACTAAGTGGATTGATACCCTTTATGGTAACTGAGGGATATATTTGAATTCAGGTTTTTGTGCCCAGAGTTTAAACTTTTATTATAAAGCTGAGCTCCAGGCAAATATTAAAAAGACACAAATAAATGTAACCTTGTAATCATTAATACATCACAAAATGCAGACTTGGCATCAGTTGCATGCAAACCCTTATACAGCATTGATCAGACTGGGAGAGGAAGGGGCAGCACCGGGAGCCAGTCAGCTGTGCTGTAGCGCTCAAGTGAAAGACAAAGAGGCATTAAGAGCTCATCAGTCTGCTGCTTCTCCTTTCAATGTCCAGTCCAAATCCAGTCCGCATACCCAATGGAAGTCTATGGGCAGACGTGTGAAAATGGATAGCAAAAGGAGAAGCAGAAGACTGATGAGCTGATCTCTCCGTCACGCTGCTCATATCAGAATCTACCTTGTTAGCACTGCAATACAGCTGACCGGCTCTCTATGTGCCAAGTGTAAAGTTTGGTGGAGGGGGATTATGGTGTGGGGTTGTCTTTCAGGGGTTGGCCCCTTAGTTCCAGTGAAGGGAACTCTTAAGGCATCAGCATAACAGGACATTTTGGACAATTTCATGCTCCCAACTTTGTGGGAACAGTTTGGGGACGGCCCCTTCCTGTTCCAACATGACTGCGCACCAGTGCACACAGCAAGGTCCATAAAGACATGGATGGGGGAGTTTGGGGGGGAGGAACTTGACTGGCCTGCACAGAGTCCTGACCTCAACCCGATAGAACACCTTTGGGATGAATTAGAGCGAGACTGGCCTTCTCCTCCAACATCAGTACCTGACCTCACAAATGGCCCAACATTCCCATAGAAACACTCCTAAACCTTGTGGACGCCTTCCTAGAAGAGATGAAGCCGTTATAGCGGCAAAGGGCGGAGCCAACTCAGTACTGAACCCTACGGACCAAGACTGGGATGTCATTAAAGTTCATGTGCGTGTAAAGACCGGCGTCCCAATACTTTTGGCAATATAGTGTGTGTATGAGAATATATATATATATAACTTTGTATCAATTATATCTGCCTGGGGCTCACATTTTAGTTACTCTTTATATTTAGATAAAAGAAAAAAAAAAAAAAAAGACTAACTTTAATTCCTCTTCCTAATGTGTTTTCATTCATGGCAGTAGGATGTCACACACATAACGTAATGGATAACATCTCTGATAAGATAAACACGAACCAACAAGGGAGGAAAGTTGACAGGGTGACCAAGCCAGGAAACCGGGTCACAGAATATATATATGTGAATCTACACAAACAGGATGTGCCGGGATAAGTAAGGGAGGGAACATGTTTTTGGCTCGCAGAATTAACCGCAGTAGCGCATGTGGCAGAGAAAGGACAAAGATCAAACAGCTTCTGAAACGGCCGATGGAAAGTCGATCATTTCACCCGTTTCCTTCCCTTATCTGGTGTGTTTCCTACACATTTCCTGCATATCGCTAGCTGCGGTCATAGCCACGAGGGGGGGTTGGCATGTGGAAAGCCAATTCAATGGCACCTCTCCAAAAGGCTTTGTGGGACTGCGGCTCAGGTTTATACCCGAGCGTTGCGTTAATGCATGTGCGTTATTGCGTATTCTACATTGCGTTAAGAGGCCCATTAATTCTGAATGAGCTACTATGCACCAAATATGCTGCATGCCACATTTGTCTTACTGCAATGCGCAGATCGTTCGCATTCTACACAATTTGCTATATATTGCAACGCACTAAAAAAAGCATTAAGCGCTTTAAGGAAAACGAATGTGCGTTTAATAATGCGATGATGTCAATAGGCCCTGTATAGGATGAAATATAGGAACTGACAACACTGGCCTCCCTAGTGTTATGCTAGATCAGTGGTGGCGAACCTTGGCACTCCAGCTGTTTTGGAACTACAAGTCCCATGAGGCATTGCAAGGCTCTGACAGCCACAGACATAACTCCCAGAGGCAGATGCATGTTGGGATTTGTAGTTTTGGCACATCTGGAGTGCCAAGGTTCGCCACCACTGTGCTAGATCCTTTGTTCTCAACAGGTGGGTAGTGACCCGGTGTTCAGTGGGTCAACGCATGCCTTCCACTTTTCTAGGCGAGAGGCTCCTCAGCATTCCCCTAGCGCAGCACTGTCAGTTCTCATTCAAAATATGCTGCTGTATTGGTTACCAATACATACAGGAACGAAATGTTAGAATGTGACATTTCTGGATTGAAAATAATGCCCTGTGCTAGTGTATTCAGATATTCCACAAAGATCTGTACGTCATCATTAGATCCTGACCAAACCACAAAGATGTCATCTATATATCTTGTCCACAGTTTCACGTGTTCAAACAGTTCACATGGGTAAATTAGGCATTCCTCGAGGTAGCCTATAAATAAATTCGCATAGGAGGGGGCAACGGAGGAGATATAGGTATATATATATGCTATATAGGTCGGCACATGCGCAATACGATAGAGTAGAAATTGTATCTCCCGATCGCCATGGTTACTAATGACGCGTATTGAATGCGCCGGTATTCGGCGACGCTGTGCACATCCTCTGATATCGGAGAGCAATACTGCTATACCACTTAATGATGCAACATAAAGACCACTGTTTATGACGGACGACATACCGCCACAGCACCGATTTTGAACATCAGACCATGGGGATCTTTTAGTAAGTGATTCTGATGTTTTATATACACATGATTTTAAATGAGATTATGCATTTTAAAATATGGCGTTTTTTCCCGCCGCTCTGACATCACCGGGGGTGTGTTCTATTAACTAATTAACAATATGGGGTATAAATGTAGTAAGTGGGTGTTATCACATTGTCACATTTTCTGCCTTGAGAAAGGGACCCTGCGTGGCCCCGAAACGTCGGCTTTTCTCGATTGTCGTGACACCATGGTCCAATAAAAAGGACTTATTCATTTTTAAACTTTTTGAGTGCTGGTGACCTATTTCTTCAAACATTCTGGCTCCCGGCGCCTCTACAGGGTGTGCAAGGGAGTTGTGCAAGCAATGCACATATGGATGGAGCTCCATCACAGCTCACCAGTCCACACTGGACCCCAGGATGAGGATCCATTCCAGTTCACAGAGAGACTGGGTGGATCTAAAAAAATAAAACTGTAATATTGTTTTGGAGTGTGTATGGGCGGGGTTTTCTTTTTTAACAAACTGACTGGTGAAACTTCAGTTGTGCTTCCATCCTGATACAGAAAGCTTTGACAACTGAAAGCGCAGAGTGCCGGCCCAATCAACTGTGGCAAGGTCCCCCCACAGCTGCACATAAACAAAGGGGAAGGATGCTGGAGACATAATTGATCCTTTATGGCCACCTGGCAATGTTAGGTCTATGTCCTTCTATGGCCAAAGAATGTCAATGATGTCACCAGCATCCTCATCCTTTTGTAGGAGTGTAGTGGGGGAACGCCCTGGCCACAGCCGATTGGGTCAGTACCGACAGCTCCCTTCCAGGTTTGGACGAACCCATATTTGGAGCCAAGCTCATACTGATTGACTAGTAAGCCAAGAAGCTGTGCGACAGTGACTGCCCACCTTAAAGACTTTAGGATGCAGGCCTTACAGAAGCGGTGTCCGCACGGTGTTTGCAGTGGTTCCCGCAGTGCCATGAGGCAGATGGGACACTCGTATTTGCTCTCTAGCTGGGGGTCAAACTCCACATCGTAGCCTTGCGTCTCCTCCATGACCAGGCTGGAAGAGTTCCCACCGGGGGTCTCCACGGATGGGCTGGTGACGTCATCCTTGGTGTTCATGCAGCAAGCAGCCATAGCTGCACAGCAGGCGTCGTCCGAGACCTCGAAGCTGGTCCTGGAGTTGACTAGACTCATAATAAATGGAGAGCTGGGAGCCCCGAGACCATCTGAGAGAGGAAACAAAAAGCCAAAATTCATGAATATTCAAATGCATTGTTTATCACAAAATCTTTTATTACCATTAATGACCTGCATTCGCTGGGCATGTTTGCGCTTTATGGCAAGAGTCCACGCCCCACCCAGAGGTAAACTGTACCAGGAGCTCAAGCAGAGTTGTCAGCCCTGCCCGAGTCCTCCCCTGCTGGACAACAACCCCCCCC